ATTTTTTTTTTTTAGGCAAGTTTAAGTTTATTTATTTATTTATTTAACGTCTTCATTGGAGTATAATTGTTTTACAATGGTGTGTTAGTTTCTGCTGTATAACAAAGTGAATCAGGAATACATATACATATATCCCCATATCTCTTCCCTCTTGCGTCTCCCTCCCACCCACCCTATCCCACCCCTCTAGGTGGTCACAAGGCACCGAGCTGATCTCCCTGTGCTATGCAGCTGCTTCCCACTAGCTATCTATTTTACATTTGGTAGTGTATATATGTCCATGCCACTTTCTCACTTCGTCCCAGCTTCCCCTTCCCCCTCCCTGTGTCCTCAAGTCCATGCTCTACATCTGTGTCTTTATTCCAAGGGTATAATTTTAACCATTGGTTTAGAATTCTGTTTTTTGTATCTTTTTCCAAGTGTTAGTAATTGTTTTTTAATAATTAGAGAGTGTTTAATTGTCCACAGGCATTGCAGCATCGTGGAGAAGGCAAATTTTTCATAGTGGACATATTTCCAGGTTGGAAGAACAGAATCAGGACCCTAAGATCTTCCTCTATCAATAAGCAGGTTTGTCAGGGGGCACCTCATATGACCCTTGGGCAGTAAGGACCATTTAGCTGTAACTTTGGTTCATTCCTTGTATTTTCCCCAGGAAAAATCTGGATTTAAAAAAATTTTCATTAAATATTTTGTTGTGTAGCTGCTGGAGGTAGTCACTGGTCTTTGGACTGGCCTGTGTGTTTCTCTGTCTTCAGCACATTGCTTTCCTTACGGTGTTGAGTTTAATAAAAATCCTTGGTATTTAATAGTATTTGGAAATCTTCACTGAAGCAGTTAACTCCTGCTCTCCATCTTGGGTATGTATGTGTGTCTCATGATCCATTTGATGTTCCATCTCAGTCATAATTATGGAACCCTTATGACATTGATCTTTTCACATAGAACAAGAATATACTAATTTCAGGAGTTTTACATAAGAGCTAGGCAACTATAAACTTCTCTAAAAACCTTTAATTACCCAAAAGGCATTGTGATACAATAATCTCTATGTAATGTTTGTTCATTTGCAATGTAATATGAAGATATATAGTTATTAAGTATGCTTTAATAACAGACATTTACACATCAATATAAATCATTAAATTATTAGCAATAATTTTCATGAATCCCTACACAAACACATACACACACATACACACCTTACAGCTCTTAAAACTTTCCAAGATTACGTTAGAGAGTTTAGAAGATAATTTAGAGAATTAATGTCTCATACTTTATCTTAATACATGTGAACCATTCCTGTTGCATTTGTGGATGCATCAGAGCCACAGGGATTCAGTGATGGATCATTAAACCTCACCCACAGCAACCTATATAAACAGGAACAACAGGATAATTGCTTGGACCGTGAAATGAGTAGCGGCACCAAAATTTTACATCTGCATTGGTTTTATTTCTCCATTCTGTGATGCCCTGTGTTCCCTTTCCATTTTAATTTTTTGGATGATAGAGTATCCTGTGCCTGCTAAAATCAAAGATCCTCAGCTAAACGACAGTGCTTTCTAAACCCATGTGCACATAAGCATCTCTAGAGAAGCTTAATAATAATACAGCCTCTCCTGGGATGCTACCCTGCAGAATCTGGCTGTGGAAAGCAGAGCTTCTCCTTGGGGAACAAACACGTAGGGACCTGGAGAAGCTCTATCCTGCTGCTGGATAGTGTCCACTAGTGACAGTAAAGCAAACAGGAGTCCTCTGGTCAGGTTAAATGAATTTGTAAAGTCACACTCCGAATTATATTTTTAAAAGGTTGTATTGCCAAGGATGTTATAACCACCCAGTAGGCTTTAAGAAGATACATTACACTTGTTTTATAACCAACAGATCTCCACTATGTAACTAAATGACCAATGGGCAACCCAAACTTCACATATTCACAACTGGAATCCTGGTCTTCCCTTACAAACATGGTCCTTCCCAAGAATTCTCCGTCTCTGTGAGTAATACCTGCACCTTCTTTCCAGGGCTTGGATCCAAATACAGGAGCCCTGCTTGATGCCTCTCTCTCTCTCCATCGGTTAGTCCACCGGTTCTAACTCAACATTTCTCTCCTCCTATTCCTCTGCTCCCAGCCTGCTACCCACCATCACCATCTTGGCTCGATTACTACAGCAACGTCCTCACTAGTCTCCTTGCTTCCTCTTGGTGCCCCACGATGGTTAAAGGCCCAAACTGCACAGCTGGTGTGGATCCTGGACCAGCCCCTTTCCAGCCACGTGACTTGAGGAAAGGCCACCTTCTCGTCCTTCCACCTGAGTCTGTCCAACATGCCAGCTCCCCATGGCTGCAGGCCTTCGGCACTTCCCTCCTCCCTCCCCTTGAAGGCTCCACCTCAGGTTTTCTCAGCGTTGCTTCTTTGATGTGGTTGGCACAGATGTCACTTTCCAACTGCGTCCTTTCTTGATCCCTCTATTGAAAACTGTAACCCATCCTTCTACAGTCTGTGACCCTGTTCCCTGCTTTGTGCTTCTTCACAACACCTGCTACCTTGCAACATGCCAAGTATTTGATTCGCTTCTGTCAATGATCTGGCTCCCCACCCCAGAAAGCACCCCCCACCAGGGGAGGGAGGTGTTCAGATTCACTCCCTGATGTGGTCACAGCCGTGCCTGGCTCAGGGCAGGCGCTGAGTACACATGTGTTCAATGTTGTCAGAAGTTTTTTTGCAACTCTTCAGTTTTGTGCCTTTACTTGGACGTTTCTTCAGGTCACCCGGGGAAGGATATGATTCACATCCTCAGCAGACAGTTTTCAAGGCCATCGTGTGTGTAAACTGACCAGGAGGGTTAATCAGCAGATTTCACCTTTTCCCTCCCTTATTTAGAGGTTCTTTCTCATCTCTAATGTAAGAAAAACCTGCTTGTATATCATCAGGTATTATTCTAAGTTACCTGAAATCAAAAGCTGGGCATCTGTTTTTACTGCCTCTTTGCATTTTGATGATAACTACTCTTCTCTCTGGTGGTAGGGGCCAAGGTTCACTCTGAAAAGGTAACAGCAATTGCAGGGAATCAAAATACATCAGCTATGGTATCAAATTAGCATTAAAACAAAACACCTTTGAGATAGTTACACGTTCCAAAGGGGCTTTATAAATATGCACAACTAAAGCTTCATGGGGAAGCCTAGACCGCGTTCACTAACATGACTAAAATACTTTTCTTTTATTACAAGCATAAACTGCAGAAGATCGGGCCCTCAGCTCTCAGTTATTCCTCTTCTCAGCAAATACCTTTCCTTATAAACGTGACCTCAGCTTGCCAATAGTTAACTATTAAAAAAATAGCTTCAGTCATTGAAATGTCACTCATTTTGGAATGTGCCAGTTGGGATTATTTCTACCTTTCTAGAATCTTGGCATTTTTCAGTGTGTATGGAACTCTGCTCATAGAATTAACCCAAGACAATATGTATGAAAATCTTTAACATGCCCTAGACTTCTGTGATAATTAAGAACTTAATTGATAAAGAGAAATGTTTTATTGGGATGCTAGCAACTTTATTTAGCTTTCTTTGTCCTCGGCATTTGCTTGAGCCATGGTAATGAAAGAAAATCAAAGCAGGAATTGAAATCACTTGAAGGCCTGTTATAAACCACTGGAGTGCAGTATATCTAGAATGATCCCCTGGGCTGTTTCCTCACATATTTCACTGATCACACATTTTTCAGTAAAGGTAAACCAATGTATTTAACTCTGTCATCACACTTCAACATTTTGGTCAGTATTTATGACAAAATGTTTACCCCAAAGCCCAAAAGAGCCATACTCACACCCAGTGCAATGCTCTGCAAGTTCTTGCATTTTCTGTACCAACTTTGGGGGTAGTTTTGGGGCTGGAAGATATATTTGACTGAATTCAGATCTAATCATATGATTAACCACTGCCAAAATGCTCAGATTTCGTTTCATGTATGAAATGGTAGTAGGTAAAAAACCACACCAGGATTGTAAGCTACTCAGAAAGCATCATCATAAATTTATCCACAAATAATTCCCTCCTCGTGAGAATTGCAACCCTGTCAGGGTGACATGTAGCCATAATAACAGAAGAACAAAATTATAACTAAGTTATAGTTGCCTTAGAACCATTTATAGTTGATTTTTTTTCTGATCATTAGCTCAGAATTTGCAGAGTCAAATTCTGTGGTTGTTGAAGTACATGTTAGGTCTATACTGCTAGAGTAACAGGAAGTTTTCTTGGAGGTTTGTCCTCTTTTTATTGGTAAAATGTTATGCGAGCATGGAGGAAAAGTTATGGGTACAGACACACATAGATACAGGTACAGAAGAGGTATAAAGAATTTGTATCAACTCCATCAGGGCAGTTGTCATTCATTAAAGTGGATGCTTTTGTCCTTTGTGGTCCTATACTGTAGGCGGAGATGTTAAATTAAAACGTTTCAAAGAATTAAAGGCATCATAAACAATAAGTCGTAAACAAGTCCTTTAACATATAATTAGGTTTCTAAGGAAAATAAAATATTATTTATACAGTTGCACAAGAATAATATTATTACTTGAAGTATATATACTTTAGAAACATTTATTATCTCCTAGATAAACTCATGAAATTACAGATTCAAAAGAATACAAATGGATGCTTTCATAAATTTGAAAAGTGAATATTCTCCTAAGTCTTTGGCATTTATTGACATGGACTAAGAAATAAAGTTTATCCCTTTTTGTTTCAGATTAATAAGCAAAGATTTATTGTTAATTTTGCACAAAGAAAGAACACAACGTTTAATTACCACCTCTTAACTATTTTAGAACATTATGTTTAATACGTCTGAGCAATCATATTACAATTACAATCAAAATGCATATCTACATAACACTGCCACTAGGTAAACTCTACTTTCCTCATTTGGGTTTTTCATGCACAGCAAGTATTTACATGAGTTTAACTGTCATAAAAAAGGCTTATTAGCATACCTGTCATGTTGCAATATACAAGGGATGGTCCCAGCGGGCCACTTCCATCTGAGTCGATATAGTAGAGCCCTGAAGAGTTTCCTCTGTGCCTGTGGGCTTCACATGACTGCTCGTAGACAGCTGCAAAGAACACGGGTCTCAGACAGGAGCTACAGTGGGATGGATCCCTCCATGTTGTGAATTAAGTGATACTTTCCCCAGTGACACTCATTCTGCATTGCTCTCAGGGACATTTTCTTTAGAGGAGTGTTTCCCTGTTTCAATCAGATAGAGTGAAGATTCTGAAGCACAGAGTGAAAGATTTTAGGAGGGATCACTGTGGGACATGTGGATCTGAATCCTGTATGTTCTAGAAACATAGGATTCTTTTCAAAATTGTGATAACTGGATTTACTCTTGTCTAATTCTTTTTTATTTCATAATATCTAAGCACCTGAAGTGCATTGGCTTAATCTCCCTAAATCATCTGCTTTTATCTAAATAATCATGTTATTTTATAAATTACTCTAATTATACTCTTTGTTTACTTAAAACAATTTACATGTGAAATGCATTTTTTTCAATGAGATGAATTTCACAAATCAGCAACTCTTCTTCATTCAGTTTTTAAAGTTTGCTTTAAAAAGAAACATCCTTAAATGCTTTGCAAATGATAATTCAAGAAAATCAAAGAAATATATATATAATATATATGAAATATCTCTTTATAGTTTCAATTTATCTTAATTCATAACTGAATTTTCTACATGTACAATAAATGTTTCTCTGTGTACAAGGCAAGAGATTAGCATCTGCAGATGATGGACTCAATATTCAGAAGACATTTAAATGAGTGATCAACCAAGTAACATCTCCAGTGTGCATCACTCGTTGCCTTGACAGGAAAAACCCTTTGAAAACCTGAAAAGCCGCTAATGGCTGCTGGGACAGAAGTGCAGCACTGATTCTGGCAGAGTGCTGGACTGGATCGTTAAGCCAGCTCTAACGATCAGATTTGGCAACCACACAGACAGACTCAGGTGGTGGTTAGGCAAGATCCACAAAATGGAGTGATCCGAAGAGGCTATGGCTTTATGCCATGCTACAATGACCGGATTATCTACACTTCTAACTTTGCCTATTTCAAGTAATCAACAAAAACCCAGGGAGAGATCGAGGGGTTGTTTTTCTCTCATCTCAAAGAAAAAGAACATGAAGGGAATGCTTTTTGCCCAGAGATTTTACAAAGGTAAACATCCTTTTGTTAAACATGGTCAAGTGTCAAATGTACCAGATTGTCCCAAATCAATGGCACGGCTACTACCATCTACACTGTTGGACACAGAGACAACATGGACTGCTTTTCCACCATGCGTGCATTTTGGCTGCTCATGTTTACACTCCTATAAATACATACATATGCTCATGACCACCTAGAAAAGTGTCCAGAGGGATACACGAAAATTGATAGCAGTGTTTGTGTTTGGGTTGGGGCTGGAATTGCCTAGGAAACAAAAGTAGAGGAGGAATGACTAGGAGAAAGTTTGCTTTAAACACGAATGCACACGTGTATTAATCGTGCACTTAGACCCAAAAATAATGGTCTCGTGATCATCTATTTTGATTTGGCAATATCTCATCTTCATGTAGCTTACCAGTTAGATGATCCCAATAAAGTCAATTCAGTTATTAGACCAGATCACGGGGCACAAATGAAACACCCTACATATATATATATCTGTTAGTTTTAAAATCAGAGTTGTTTAGAATGATGTTTAGATCACAGTTACTGATAGCATTTTAGCCATATTTCTTACTCATTAATATTCAGTAGATATCTGCTTCATATAAGACACCTTGCTAAGTATGATGGAGGACACTCTAAGGAAGAGATCACCCCATTCCTAACTGTGACTTGGCCAAGTCACTTAGCCTCAAGTTTCCCAGATGTCCAGCTCTTTTCAACTGAAGAGTTACTCCGGGAAATTCTCACCTGGCACTAGTACAGTAAATAGAGTTGCAGGTGGAATTGCTCTGGTTGAACTTATGGGATGTTTAGGGCATAAGTCACCTCCCTTTGTCTTCCAAGATGCTTTGAGCTCCTCTGTGGAACCTTCAGGGCTGAGGACACAGGGCTCTCATCCCAACACTGATGCCTGCCTCACTGGGATTCACTTCCCATAAAGACAAATTTATGCCAGTCCAAACTCTGCTTTTCTCCCATATGTGGAAATAAAATTAAATAATTCACAGGGAAGAGTTCTTAAAAGTGCAATGTATTCTCCCAGTAGGAGGGACTGAACATGGTGAGATCTGTGAATTTTCATATCATGCTGTCTCTCTCTAAAGACCCAGAGAGAGGGGTGCTACCAGAGAAGGGATTCAGAAACATCAGCAGTGACACACAAATAGGGAAAAATGAAAAGAAAAACATATACAAAAGCCAATAATTAGAAGACCAAGGGCATTTCAGAGGCTCTGTCATAAGCTAATGGATTAACGGTCAATAAAGTTTTGTTAGCTTTAAAGTTGAAGGAATAATTCTTCAGAAAAGAGACTGGTGTTCTAGACAGAAGAAACACCACTAAGAGGAGATGGAGAGTGTGACCCTGGGTAAACAGCCTCTCTCGTTCCTCAGTGTAAAATGTAGATAAAAATACATTTACCTCCTAGAGTTGTTTTGAGGATTAAAGGAGTTGAAACATGCAGAGAACTAGAATCGTGCAAGTACATGGTAAGTTCCAGTAAGTTCCATCATCATCATCATCATCATCATCACCACCACCATCATCATCAGAGAACATCAAGATTGCAAGGAACCTAAGCATTTGCCTGGCTTGTCACTGATGTCTAGAAGCCCTACCGTGTTAGCTCCCATCCTATACTTCTTCTGAGACTTTTCTTGTTTAATTTTATAAATATTGAGAATCTAGTAACTCATGCTTTTTACTTAGGCAGACAGGACTTGAGAACTAAAATTGGATTCTGCTCGAGGAAGAGAACAAGATATAATATCATGAGTTCTAGATTTAATTTATACTTTGACTATATTTTATTTTCCTATACTTATTTTCCTTTGCCTACTATTTTTTTCTATCCTATGATATATGTATTTCTGTTAGCTGCCTTATCATCAGTAGGAAATAAATTTGATTAAAAATAAACCAGACAAAAATTAATGTCTAAAATAATTATTTTTTGTTGTTGCTTTCTAGCACATGGTTGCACGCACACATATACACAAAATAATGGAAAGAAAAATAGAACTACATGGAAATCAGAACAGAAAGGAGAGTGAATGAAGTGTGAGGCTTACAGGAATGGCAGGTTGCACCGGTGTAACCAGTGTGTGCACAGTTGCAGGAGAAGGTGTCCCAGGACTGGGAACATTCACCCCCATGTTCACAATAGCTGGGCAAACACCTAGAAGAAGACAGACACAGCACTATTTCCCACACTTCGTCATGATAAATGTGTATCTTAATATTCATATGTTGTAATGAAAACAGTGACTTGATCAGAAAAATTTCAACATGAACAAAAATTGTTGGGTCTGTCATCAAGGTTTCCAAATGTAATATCAATCATAGACTAAAAAATCCACTAGATGCTACCAACTGTCATGTATTTGTGACAGACAAATTTTCTACACATCTCATTACATCAGAAAATGTGTTTTCTTTTTCACAAATAAGGCAAGATTAATTTCATACATGACAGGGATATAAATTGCTTGCAATGGCCATAGACAGCACATTTCCCATCCCTGTTTCCATGTCCTTGCAATGTGAACTATAGATACTTCCATCAAAAAGTATAGCTTACTTCACCTTGAATCTGGGTTGGGCATATGACCTGCTTGGATCAATGAGGCATTAGCAAACTAACACAGCAGAGGCTAGAAAAGTGCTTGGGCAGTGGGCTTGCTCTCTTGCTGAGTTTTAAACCCTGAAAGCACAACCACATGAAGAAACCTGGGCTTGTTCAGGTTGTCTAGTCACCCCTGTAGGTTCAAACCACAGGACAAGTGAGTAAGGGGATTATAAGTCAACCAGCTGCCAGCTGATCCCCCAGGCAACCACAGATGCATGGGAGAGCCCAGCAAGCAAATACAGAACTGTGAGATAAACAAATTTGTTGTTGTTTTCAGCTAGTAAGTTTTAAAGATAATTTATTGTGCAGCCAAAGCTAACTGATATATGTATACCACATTGTAATATGTTACCATGTTGACTTAGTACATAAGGAAACATTTTAAAGAGAAGGAAGGAAGTCAGGAAAAAGGAGAAACTCTTTATCCATATAGCATCACAGTGCCAGGGGTTCTGAATGTCATCTACTTTAGATCAGACTGATGATGCCTCTAGGAATTAGATTTAGAGATCACTTAAGACTAAGGGATTTATTGTTATTTTTTCCCCCACATAATTGAATAAACCACAAAATCACTCAGGTAAACCAAATAACCACTTATATCTCATGGACATTGTTACATCTCACTTTTTGAAATTGGAAATTTAATACTTGTTTATAAGATTAAAATTTTTAATTGCAAGAATGTTAATTTTTTTATTATCAAAAAGAGGTGCTATTCTCAACAAAATAATAGAAAATTGAATCCAAAAATGTATAAAAAATATATAAAACATAATTGAGTAGAATTTATTCCAGGTATGCAAGGCTGCTCCAAAATTTGAAATAAATAATTTGAAAATTAATATAATCTATCACATAAACAGGCTAAAGAAGAAAAACCATTTGGTCACATAAATAGATGCAGAAGTATTGGACAAAATCTAACACTGATTCACGATAAAACAAAAATAAAACCAACCAAACAAAACACCTTGGCAAACTAGTAATAGAGAGGAACTTCCTCAACTTGATTAAACAAACAAACAAACAAACAAAATCTCCAAAACCCTACAGCAACATTATATTTAATGGTGAGAAACTAGATGCTTTCCTCTAAGTATGGGAACAAAGCAAAGATTTGCTCTCACCACTCTTATTCAAACATCATACTGGAAGTCTTAGCTAATGCAATAAGACAAGAAAAGGAATAAAAGGTACAAAGATTGGGAAAGAAGAAATAAAACCATCTTTGTTCACAGATGACATGACTGACTATGTGGAAAATCTCAAATAATCAACAAAAAACTTCTGAAACTAATAAGTGATGATAGCAAAGCTGTAGGATTCTTTCTTATAAGTGAACAATGAACAATTGAAATTTAAAATGAAAACCACAACACTTACATTAGCATTATCCAAAAAATAGAATACTTAGACAAATCTAACAAAACATATACAAGATCTATATGAGAAAAATTACAAAACTCTGATGAAGGATAAAAAAGAAAATCTAAATAAGTGGAGATATTCCATGTTCATGGATAGTAAGACTCAAAATTGGCAAGATTTCAGTTATTCCAAATTTGATCTATAGATTCAAGGGAATCTCAGTCAAAATCCCTGCAGGTAATTTTGTGGATATCAACAAACTGATCCTAAAGTTTATATGGAAAGGCAAAAGACCCAACAAAATATTGAAGAAGAAAAAAGTCAAAGAACTAATAACACTACTCAACTTCAAGACTTACAAAGCTACAGAAATCAAGACAGTGTGGCACTGGCAAAAGAGCAAATAGATTAATGGCACAGACTAGAAAGCCCAGAAACAGACACACAAAATTAATCAACTCATCTTTAACAAAGAAGCAAAGGCAACTCCCTGGAGAAAGGACAGTCTTTCCAACAAATAACTGCTGGAACAACTGGGTCTCCACATGCACAAAAAATAATAATATAAACACAGACTTTACATCTTTCTCAAAAATGAACTCAAACTAGATCTTAGAATTTTAAAATGTAAAATGCAAAACAGTTCAACTCTCAGAATATAACATAGGAGAAGATCTAGGTGACCTTGGTTTGGCAATGACTTTTCAGATACAGTCCACAAAAGAAAAAAATGGTAATTTTGACTTCAGTAAAATTAAAAACTTCTTTTCTATGAATAACATTAAGAGCATGAAAAGATTAGCTATAGACTAATGGGTAACTTTCAAAACACGTATCTAACAAGGGATTCGTATCTAAAATATAGGAAGAGCTCTTAAATTCAACAATAAGGACATAACCAATTAAAACCCGGGGCAAAAGATCTGAACAGACACCTGGCCAAAGAAGGTATCAAGATTGCAAATAAAAATATAAAAAGCTTCCCAGCATCACATGTCAGTAGAGAAATGCAAATTAAAGCAATGAGATAACACTACAGACCTATTAGGATAGCAAACATCCAAAACACTGACAACACCAAATACTGGCAGGGATGAGGAACAACAGGAACTCTCATTGACTGTTGGTGGGAATGCAAAATGGAAGACAGTTTGGCAGTATCTCACAAAACTAAACATCTTCTTACTAAATGATCCAGCAATTGTACTCCTTGGTATTTACGCCGATGAGTTGAAAACTTACTTCCACACCAAAATCTGCACGTAAATGTTTACAGCAGCTTTGTTAATTGCCAAAACCTGGAAGTAACCAAGATGTCCTTCAGTAGGTGAATGGACAAAGTAGTGGTACAGAATATTATTTAGCACTAAAAACAAATAAGCTGTCCAGCCACAAAGGACATGGAAGAATCTTAAATGCGTATTACAAAGTGAAAGGCTACGTAGAGCATGATTCCAACTATGTGACATCCTGGAAATGGCAAAACTATGAAGAGAGTAAAAAGATCAGTGATTTCCAGGCCAGGGGTTGGGGGAAGGGAGGGGAATTGAGTAGGTGAAGCATGGGAGATTTTTAGGGCTGTGAAACTATTCTGTACGATACTGTAATGGTGAAGACATAACATTATGCATTTGTAAAACCCCATAGAACTGTTTAACACAAAGAGTGAACTTGTAAACTATGGACTTTGGTTAATAAGAATGTATCAATATTGGTTCATCAATCGTAATAAATGTACAACACTGATGCAAGATGTTAATAATACAGAAACTGTGTGAGAGGAGACTGGGAAGAGAGGAGATAAAGGGGAGCTCTCTATACTTTCTGCAAACCTAAAACTGCTCTAAAAAATAAAGGATATTAATTAAAAATGTTCATTGTGAGGGACTTATCACAGGCAAGTATATAAAACTAAAATGTATTGAAATTCTCACCTTAGAGAAGGAAAATATGTGTGTGTATAGATTTATAAATTTATACATAATTTTATATAAATGTTATATTATTTTTCTATTACTGCCATAACAAACTACCACAAAGTGTATTAAGAAAAAGAGAGATTCACACCAATGATAGGATCTCTGCTTAGAAGACAGGACAGTATAAACATGTAGAAATACCCAGAGCGCAACATACAACCCTGTTTCATCCCAGTCGGCTCCCCAACAGCCACTTATCTGCAAATCAGAAAAGGTAAAACAAACATCCTTAAAAGGAAAGTAGGAAAAACAAAAGATGAAAGGGAGCATCTGGCTATTTTATGATATTTTTTTGTCCTCTAATACTGCACAAATTACACTCCCAGACACTGAAATTCCAGTAGATCTAACCAAAGAACTATTTTGGTTTTCTTTGGAAAAATATGGGAAAATTTCAACTGTCAGTAAGAACTGGAAATAGGCAAACTCACTTTTACTTTAAAAAGAAATAAAATGATATATAGTAGAGTTTTTGAAATTTTTCCTGGATATGCTTATTTTTAATTTCTGACAAATTTCAGAACAGTTTGTCAACCTTAAGATTGTGAATTTCAAAATCAGTTTGGGCCAGTTGGGATTCACATGTGGAATAAATGGTGCCCGACTTATTTATCTTTCTGGAGAGGTTTACTAGGTGAATGCATAGGATGGGGCATCCATACCTTGACAGTCAGCAAATTGCTATAACAGTCGAAGAACAGGACAGTCTATAGCAAAGTCAGAGAGTATTAGGAGTGGTGGTATTTCAGATCATGTTACCTAAGCATCCCATTGGACCGAAAGGGTGGCTTGATCCGAGTAGGGCCCATCCCCTTTACCCCTCGCTTGAACAAAGTAACTTCTTGCCCTTCTTTTCGACACGTTGGAACACTCTAAAATCATACTAGAATAGATTCCATACTTTTTAACGCAGTGAAAATGACTGCTTTATGATAAAGAATATCATAGTTTACCTAGAAATGTTTTGGGATAAGATTTTTTTTTCATAAATAAGAACTTAAAGTTTGTGGTAATTAATTTTCTTCTAAATGTGTTATTTTCTTTTAAAAAGAACCCCAAGATGTATGATGCACAATGTCACATTTAGCATCTAGAAGATTAATGTTGGGTCAAAGGCAGTGGAAATGAGGAAAGTGACCCCATCAGCACCATCCATGGCTGGGGGTGCTCTAGACAGCAAACACCTGAGCCTAAAAGGAACCTGAAAAGAGCTATGTAGCCTGAGTTACATGACATGAAATCCTAATGTCCAAAACCCCAAGGGTGTAAGACACGATCCCTCCTCACTGCTATCCCCTCCCCACAGCCTTGTCCCAAAGGACTGCACTGCCTTCCCTATAAAGTGTCATCCGAGCCTCAGGAAGACAGAGCGTGATGCACAAGTCCTTATATGGCTCAGGAAAGTTTCCTAAGTACCCCTAAGATTTCAAACATCTTTTCAGCATTTGCAGTGTGAGGAATGCTGCTATGTATGATGAATTATTCATTCCTGTGCCCAATGGATAGAAGTTAGAAAGCTAGCTGCATTTTAATAATAAATCTCAGATTCACTTGAGCACATTAGGACTTGCTCTGGGCAGGCAGAGTGGTGGGCTGGGTGGATGGCTGCGTACAGTGCACAGTGCCCGAAGACAGCCCAGGTGTGAGTGTCTGCTTTGCTGCACTTTTAAGTGAATCTATTTCATGGTGCATTGGACATGCAGTTAGTAGGTATGGACTAAAGGGTTGAGAAAAAATGAATATTTTTAGTATTAAGAAGAATGGAGAGTAAGGACATGTCTTTAGATGTTGAACCATAAAAAATTACAAGTAGTGACTATATAGGCCATCCAAAGTGCCAATAGCTATTTTTATAACCACTTACAAAGTTGCCATGAGCCTCAATTTTATGGAAGATAACTTAATACCACAGATGTCTCCATAGACTAGTACAGATATCTGAAAATCTTTTAAAAATGTGATGTGGAAATTTTTCTATTTTGGTCACACACACACACACACACACACACACACACACACACACACGTTGGTTTTTTGTTTTAGTTTTGAAATAAAGACCTTTATGCACAAAGGGGCAACCTTTATGTGAGATAAATACTGTGATTATACACGTGCTGTGATGGAGTTCTCCAAGCACTAAAATAACTTTCTGTGAGCTTCCCGACTGAAGTGACAACCAGGCTACTGACAGTGAGCTGTGACTTCCCACCCTCCTGACCCACTAAAAGCCATTCCCATGGGTGAGAGGATGTACTCTACCTCCAAAAGAGCATCTCTAACCCTCTCCCAATACCAAGATTCAGGATGCCAGAGCTGGCTGCAGTTATAACTTGCAGATGATGTTACACTTTCTATGCCAAAAAAATTTTTATAATTTGAAAATTAGGGTTGAGAGTTTTGTCTAAATTCTTTAAATCATTTTTTTTCCTCTACAAATGAATAGAATGTGAACATATGGCCATGGACATTTGCACAAGAACTCAAGTTCTTGTGAGTCAATATTTTACATACTGGGAATTTATGATCTTCTCGTACACTGCTAAATTGCACTGTAACTTGTAGTTAATTGGACATGACAGGGAATTTCAATTAGTGTTAAATTTGGATTATATTTACTCCACAAAGGACTCTGTGCAGTGTGAACTTTGGAAAGGTGCCCATGTATGGATGTGTGAGGATGTCTGGAGTATGTATATTTACTCAACACGAACTTAATGCACTCCTACTGCAGAGAAGTCAGACATACCAGTTACAGAAAAAAACTTGAATGTGTGATGGTTAAGCCATCACTTTTAGCCAAAATTACTTAAAAGGCAGACATGACTAACAAATAACTTCAGTAAAGTTGCAATTCTTAGCAATTTTAATATGCTATTGTTTTAAAGTTTTGCCTTTCTTGTCTTCTTCAGTGAAGTGGTACCATGTTCAGTATGTGGTAACTGAATTCTCTCTATTCTTTACTGTGTTTCAAACATCACTAGAAATCCCCAAAGCTTCCACCTTTCTCAAAGGAAGAGTTACTTTTCATTTTTCCTGTAGAATAGGGAGTGTAAGGTGAATGCAGCTGACCACATAGAATTTTGATTTCCGGGTCCTCAATGATCTCTTTAGAATATTCTAATCTGTTTTGTGCAATGTTCGAATTTTTTAAAGTATATACTAATCAATAATTATAATAGCATCAGTAGTATTCTGTGTGAATTAAGTAGCTTGGAGGCATACACAAGGAAAATTCATGAGAGTGTGTCTTCTAAGAAAATATCTTGGAAAGAAGCAATTATTTAAAGTTTGTCATTTTTGTTTTCAATGTAAATATAATTTTTCCCTATGGAATGGATATCAGTAATGGAGAAGGGGCAAGAATATGCTCTCTTCCAGCGGTTCATTTGTTTTTAATCTACTATCAAAAAGTTGAAAACAGGCATGCTGACATGAGATTGCCTACCTGTCTGTGAGGCCACAGGTGTCTATCTGGAGGTCACGGTAACTCCCCAGCGCCCCCTGCTGTATGGAGATGGGATCCACCGCTTTGTCACCAATGGAGATGAGCCTCAGGCAGCCCTGAAATCCATTCAGGGGACTTGCACATCCAGGGTCAGAGCTGTTGTCAGGACAGCCTGAATGAACATGGAAACACACACAGGAGAAAATAAACAGTTATGAAAAAATATCGTATGGTATTTCTCATATGCAAAAATTGCTACCTCCCCCTGTTTGCAGACACCTGAAGATTAGACTTCCTACACCATTTGGGAAGGTCACATTGCCCATGGATAGGGTGGTGGAGAGCTGACAAGAACAAAATTTGTTGGTATTGGTCACGTGTAAAAATAATAAATAAAGCCAGGCTTATGGAGAGATGAGAGGAAGGGAAGATGTGAAATCTGACAAATAGAATTACTGTACATTTAATTTAAGCAGTTTGATTTCTTTTTTGAAAGCATACTCAAGAAATCACTCCTTTTAGCATGATGTTAAACTAGATGAACTAAGGGCATGTGATAGTAGAATGAGAAAAAAAGTTACAGGCATAATAGGACTTGCTAAATTTAAAATGCCTGAAAAATAATTTTAAATTGAGACTTGACCTGGACACCCTCCATTCATCTAAAAACTTAAATATCATCTGTATGTGCATGTATGTGCAGGCACAGGCAATATTTTAAAACACTTTTGATAACAACTGGTCTAAGAAATCTAATAGCAATTTATATTTACTTTTCTTTTTTTAATTAGGCACTTTAGTCAAATATCTTTCAACATTAACACATAGACAAATTAACAATATCTCATAATGATATGGCATTGCAAATAATGGAGAAAAATAAGCAACACAGAATATTCTATAAAAAAAAAGAAATGAGTTTTGATTAATTTCAAAATTAAGAGTTAAATTTTACAAGTTCTGCTACAGCCATTAATTGGTTTGCTGTAACTCCCCAACCACAATTCTTATAGAGTGGTTTTGTTTTATCCTCCTAGGTTTCCCAAGAGACAATGCTCTTATGATTATGAGCAAGCACATGGCTTTGAAATCAAAATCAAAGCAAGATGGGGTCCAGAACCACCTTCTCCACATGGGGGGCCAGCAGGGTTTTGAGTGCCCTCCTACCCTCCACTTAGTTGTCCCCTAAAGGAATCACAGGTTCTTAAATTTGCCTACGGCAAGATTGGCAATGTAGGAGAGGAAGGGGAAAGTTAGGGAAAGAGCATAATATGGGACACTTTACAACACACCTGGCTCAGGCTTTTCAAAGTCAGTATCAGAGGGAAGAGGTGGAATGGGAGACTTTTCTAGATTAAAATAAACTAAAAAGACATAACTGTTTGCATTGCATGAAGCTTGATTGGATCTTGATTCAAATGTTTAAAACAACCATAAAAACATCTTGGGGACAATTGCGATGATTAGAGATTTGGTATTAGATTATTTTAGGAAACTATTGTCAAGTTTGTTAAGAGCAAAAATGATACTATGTAGGAGAATATCCATATTTCAGGAGATGTATGTTGAAATATCTCAAAGTGTAGTGTCATGATGCATGTAGCTTATATTCAATGGTTCAGGGGAAAATGCAAATATAGAAAAATGTTAATTATTGAACCTTAGTGGTATGCGTATGGGTGTTCATTGTACTTTGCTTTCCACTCTTCTGTGTGCTTGAAACTTTTCATAATAAAAAGTGGTGGAGGGAGTTAGGTGATCCTCAAAAAATTAAATAATTAAATGACTCCCCCCCCACCACCATTTCCCACTCCTTTTTGGATTAAAGAAAACAACTTATAAAGAAAAAAAAAAAAGAAAGTTAGGGTAGGAGGATGCTGTCATTGTGAAACATTTCTGTAAAAGGCAACAATTTAGGGAAATCTGCTGTACAGAGCCCAGACTCCCTTATTCCCCCCTATTCAAGACTGAGGTTCTCCCCAGGATCTGCCAGGCTGAAGGGAGCTGACTCTCATGAGGCTGTGCCCCTCCGCAGGGACAACAGTGCCCAAGAATACAATGGAATGATGCAGTGCAGTGGCAGAGACCCATTTTCTCAACTGGGACCTCCCTGAAGGGCATCCCTGCTTCAGACTCCCCCTTGGCGTATTCAGAGACTTCTGTTGCAACTGCACTGCAGTTCAACTTGTCCCTCTGCCCATCCCAGCTGCTCTTTCAAACTTCCAGGTGTTGTTCCCAAGAATTACCCCCACTCAAACACCCACATGCAAATCTCCCATGCAGAGGCAGCTTCCTAGGGAACACAACCAACAGCCCTACATAGGACAAAAGGTAAAAGCATTTACTGAACTGAGTACTTCATTTTCATGTGCAAATATGAAAGAAGCACAACATTTTTAATAATTAACATTGTTTTAATTCCCAAAAATTGTCAAGCAAATTTTGTTTCACATGAAATTTACCTATTTTATTTATGCTTTGCTTTATAAAATTGTGTTTCATTTACATCATTTCCACAACTGTTTTAACTTTTAGATACAATGTTATAATTATTCATCTTTTGCTTTGTATTTTCCAATAATTTAAATAGTCAGGAATACTTATGTTAATATTTACAGCCTGGGGTTTGAGGTTATTTTATCAGATTCTTATTTTTAAAATCGAATGGAATAAGTAATTTTATAAAGTAAAGATTTTGCTCATTGTACTTATGTGTTTTTCATTCATCTCTCTTTGTACTTCTGTCTTGAAATCACTGGTGTACTTTCAAAGAGCAAAAACTGAAGATAGAGCCTCTTCTTGTTCCTCCATAATAGATGCTAGCCTTCTACCTAAGAATTTTCATAAAATACACACAGTTTACCTTTACTTTTCTTTCAGTGACTGAGGCTTTAATGTTTTGTATTTCTGACAAATAGAATTCAAAACAAGCCAAGGCCTGCATCAGGTTGAAACCATTAAAGGCACAATGAAACCTCATAAATTAACCTCAATGGGATTTTGACATTTCAAATATAATGTTATGTCATAAAGAACTGTTTAACTCTACAGCCTTCCTTTACCATTTTCTTGTCTTATGTGAAAATACACACATTTACTTTGTAAGAAAATTACTGAAGTGTTGGATGTATCTGGAAAAACTTGATATATCTTTTTTTTTAACATTTTTATTGGAGTATGATTGCTTTACAATGGTGTGTTAGTTTCTGCTGTGTAACAAAGTGAATCAGCTATACATTTACATATATCCCCATATCTCTTCCCTCTTGCGTCTCCCTCCCACCCTCCCTATCCCACCCCTCTAGGTGGACACAAAGCACCGAGGTGATCTCCCTGTGCTATGGGGCTGCTTCTCGCTAGCTATCTGTTTTACATTTGGTAGTGTATATATGTCCATGCCACTCTCTCACTTCGTCCCAGCTTCCCTTTCCCACTCCCTGTGCCCTCAAGTCCATTCTCTATGTCTGTGTCTTTATTCCGGTACAGCCCCTAGGTTCATCAGAACCATTTTTTTTTTTTTTAGATTCCATAAGTATGTGTTAGCATATGGCGTTTGTTTTTCTCTTTCTGACTTACTTCACTCTGTATGACAGACTCTAGGCCCATCCACCTCACTACAAATAACTCAATTTCGTTTCTTTTTATGGCTGAGTAATATTCCATTGTATATATGTGCCACATCTTCTTTATCCATTCATCCGATGATGGACACTTAGGTTGCTTCCATGTCCTGGCTATTGTAAATAGAGCTGCAATGAACATTGTGGTACATGACTCTTTTTGAATTATGGTTTTCTCAGGGTATATGCCCAGTAGTGGGATTGCTGGGTCATATGGTAGCTCTATTTTTAGTTTTTTAAGAAACCTCCATACTGTTCTCCATAGTGGCTATATCAATTTACATTTCTACCAACAGTGCAAGAGGGTTCCCTTTTCTCCACACCCTCTTCAGCATTTATTGTTTCTAGATTTTTTGATGATGGCCATTCTGACTGGTGTGAGGCGATACCTCATTGTAGTTTTTTTTTGTGTGTGTGTGACACGCGGGCCTCTCACTGTTGTGGCCTCTCCCATTGCGGAGCACAGGCTCTGGACACACAGGCTCAGTGGCCATGGCTCACGGGCCCAGCCGCTCCGCAGCATGTGGGATCTTCCCAGACCGGGGCACAAACCTGTGTCCCTTGCATCGGCAAGCGGACTCTCAAGCACTGCGCCACCAGGGAAGCCCCTCATTGTAGTTTTGACTTGCATTTCTCTAACGATTAGTGATGTTGAGCATCCTTTCATGTGCTTCTTGGCCATCTGTATGTCTTCTTTGGAGAAATGTCTATTTAGGTCTTCTGCTCATTTTTGGATTGGGTTGTTTGTTTTTTTACTATTGAGCTGCATGAGCTGTTTATATATTTTGGAGATTAATCCTTTGTCCGTTGATTCATTTGCAAGTATTTTCTCCCATTCTGAGGGTTGTGTTTTCGTCTTGTTTATGTTTTCCTTTGCTGTGCAAAAGCTGTTAAGTTTCATTAGGTCCCATTTGTTTATTTTTGTTTTTATTTCCATTTCTCTAGGAGGTGGGTCAAAAAAGATCTTGCTGTGATTTATGTCATAGAGTCTTCTGCCTATGTTTTCCTCTAAGAGTTTGATAGTGTCTGGCCTTACATTTAGGTCTTTAATCCATTTTTGAGTTTATCTTTGTATATGGTGTTAGGGAGTGTTCCAATTTCATTCTTTTACATGTAGCTGTCCAGTTTTCCCAGCACCACTTATTGAAGGGGCTGTCTTTTCTTTCTTTTTTTTTTTGCAGTACGTGGGCCTCTCACTGTTGTGGCCTCTCCCGCTGCAGAGCACAGGCTCCGGACGCGCAGGCTCAGCGGCCATGGCTCACGGGCCCAGCCGCTCTGCAGCACGTGGGATCCTCCCGGACCGGGGCACAAACCCGTGCCCCCTGCATCGGCAGGCAGACTCACACCCACTGCGCCACCAGGGAAGCCCTGTCTTTTCTTAATTAAGAAAATTCTTGCCTTTTTTATCAAAGATAAGGTGATCATATGTGCATGGGTTTATCTCTGGGCTTTCTATCCTGTTCCATTGATCTATATTTCTGTTTCTGTGTCAGTACCATACTCTCTTGATTACTGTAGCTTTGTAGTATAGTCTGAAGTCAAGGAGCCTGAT